GAGAGAGAGAGAGAGAGAGAGACAGAATCTGAAGCGGGCTCCAGGCTCTGAGCTGTCAGCACAAAGCCCGAGGTGGGACTTGAACCCACAAACCATGAGATCATGACCCGACCCTAAGTGGATGCTCAACTGAATGAGCCACCCAGGCACCCCTGTATTTACACTTTAAGACAGCATTTGAACAGTGTCTGAACGACACACACAAAAGTCAAAAGCCATGCACTCATGCATACAGTATTGTACATTTGGAAATCTTTAATAAACCTTAAAACAGAGCCACACACAGAAACACGGAATGCTGAGGAGATCCAGGTTTTGATAGACAGTGGACTCGAACTCCGTTTTCCTGTTAGCAGCTTTGAGCACATTATGTAGCTAGAACTAACTGTTGTTATTTCATTTATTTATTTATTAAATAACCTGTGTCTGACACGGGGCTCGAATTCATGACCCTGTGACCAAGAGTCACAGGTTCTACTGAGCCAGCCCGGCAACTGTTGCTATTTTAAGTAGAGTAGCCAGGGGGCGCCTGGGTGGCTCAGTTGGTTAAGCTTCTGACTTCAGCTCAGGTCACGATCTCGTCAATGGTCCCGTGGCTTCCAGCCCCGTGTCAGGCTCTGTGCTGACAGCTCGGAGCCCAGAGCCCGCTTCAGATTCTGTGTCTCCCTCTCTCTCTGCCCCTCCCCCACTCATGCTCTGTCTCTCAAAAGTGAATACATGTTAATTTTTTTTTTTTTTTAACTAGGACAGCCAGGTGACACTTCAGCCAGGAGAGGTCCCAGGGAGCCCAGGGACACCCGCAAGGATGTGCAGATGGGTTCAGGAACCACCAGGAGCCTGGGGTGGCTGGAGCATAATGAGGGAGAATCAGGAGGGGGGAGGATCTTGAGATGAAATGTAGGGGTACCATAAGAACCACTGGGCTCTAACTCAGAGAAAATGAAGTCAGATGGGTGCCACTGGACTGTTAGGAGCAGGTGACATGGTCTCCCTGGCAGAGAGCCACCACTGGATGCCGGCTCATCACCTACCATTTCTATGAGACCTAGGACATGGTTCTCCCATGTCAGGATTGTCCTATTATGTAAAACAAATGTCCAGGAATCTTCATTTAAGAGAGTTACGTGCCTCATTGGAGGTAGTTTGGTTCTATCTTTTAAATTTTTACAGTAACCTCTACATCCAACATGGGGCTCAAACTTAAAACCCAGAGATCAAGAGTTGCAGGCTCTATCGACCGCACCAGTCAGGTGCCCCCCAAGTTGACCCCTATTTGTTTTAAAGATTTTTTTAATGTTTACTTATTTTAAAGTTTATTTATTTCGAGAGCGGAGGGAGGAGAGAGAGAGAGAGAGAGAGAGAGAGAGAGAGAGAGAATATATCTCAAGCAGGCTCCATGCTGTCAGCACAGACCCTGATGCAGCACTTGAACCCATGAACCACGAGGCCATGACCTGAGCTAAAGTCGGACCCTTAACCACTGAGCCACCCAGGTACCCCAGAAACAGAGAGAGAGAGAGGGAGAGGCAGAGGGAGAAGGAGAAAGAGAATCTCAAGCAGGCTCCATGCCCAATGCAGAGCCCGACTTGGGGCTAGACGTCACAAGCGTGAGATGGTAACCTGAGCTGAAATCAAGAGTCGGACACCGAAGTGATGAGCCAAGCGCTCCATTAGGAATTTTAAGTGTTTTTTTTTTAATTTTTTTTTTAATGTTCATTTATTTTTGAGAGAGACAGAGACAGAATGCAAGTGGGTTGGGGCAAAGAGAGAGAGGGAGACACAGAATCCGAAGCAGGCTCCAGGCTCTGGGCTGTCAGCACAGAGCCCGACGTGGGGCTCGAACTCACCACTCCGATATCAAGAGTCTCACGCTCCACTGACTAAGCCAGCAAGACACCAACCCCTGTTTTAATCTGTTTGCCTAACAGATTCATTTTTATCTGACATGAACTGCTACTCGGGGCTTCACACATCATTTCCAGTCCAGGAAAATCGGCCAAGCAATGAGCAGGGCCCCTGCAGTATTTCTAAACTCCAAATATAAGATAAATGTCCTTATTTTGAGAAAACCTTTTTTTTTTTTTTTTTTAATTTTTAAGTAATCTGTCCAATCAACATGGGGCTCGAACTCACAACCCTGAGATGAAGAGTTGTTTGCTCTACCAAGTGAGCCAGCCAGGTGCCCAAGACTTTTTTTTTCTTTTTTTTACATTTAAGTATTGAGGCTAAACCCTTAAATATTTATCTCATTATTAAAAAGACCAAGCCAAATTTAAAAGTTATTGCTGACTTTCCTTAAACACCACTGTGTAAGTCAAACAAAACCAACTTAACCAACCAAATAAAAAACAAACTTTAGGTTATTACTTTACATCAGTTATGGTTTTAAAACCTGTAAGCCCCAAGTTGGGTGTAGAGATTACTTAAAAATAAAATCTTTAGGGGCGCTTGGGTGGCTCAGTCAGTTAAGCATCTGACTTCCGCTCGGGTCATAATCTTGCAGATCGAGAGTTCGAGCCCCACATCAGACTCACTGCTGTCAGCATGGACCTGCTTGGGATCCTCTGTCTCTCTCTCTGCCACTCCACCTCTCACACACTCTCTGTCTCTCTCAAAAAATAAGTAAACATTTTTCTGGGGCACCTGGGTAGCTCAGTTGGTTGGGCGGCCGACTTCGGCTCAGGTCATGATCTCACAGTCCGTGAGTTCGAGCCCCGCGTCGGGCTCTGGGCTGACAGCTCAGAGCCTGGAGCCTGCTTCGGATTCTGTGTCTCCCTCTCTCTCTGCCCCTCCTACGCTCATGCTCTGTCTCTCTCACTCTCAAAAATGAATAAATGTTAAAAAAAATTTTTTTTTTAAATGCTGGAGAAGATTCCTGGAGCTTGTTGAACAGTAGCTTTAAGAAGAGACACTTTTTTTTTCTTTTTTTTTTTTAAGAGAGAAAGAGTTCAAGCAGGGGAGAGAGGCAGAGGGAGACAGAGAATCCCAACCAGGCTCCACACTCAGGAGGGAGCCTGACACAGGGCTAGATCCCACGACCCCAGGATCATGACCTGAACTGAAATCGAGTCAGACATGCAACTGACTGAGCCACCCAGGTGCCCTGAGGGACACACTTTCTTAAAGCTGTGGCACCACCCTGCCCTCTCTCTAGGCCAGAGACATACTTATTTTTATTAATTATTTTTTTAATGTTTATTGAGAGAGAGAGAGAGAGAGAGAGAGTGTGTGTGTGTGTGTGTGTGCACGCATGCGGGGGGGGGGAGGGGCAGAGAGAGAAAGAGAGAGAGAGGGAGAGAGAGAGAGAGAGAGAGAGAGAATCCCAAGCAGGCTCTGCCCTATCAGGGCAGGGACCTACGCAGAGCTCGATCCCACCAACCATGAGATCATGACCTGAGCTGAAATCAAGCGAGGGATGCTCAACCGACTGAGCCACCCAGGCACCCAGGGAAATGACATATTTAAATACACTTTACTGGGGGTGGGAGTAGGGATAGAGAGATCAAAGTTCTAAATGCGCAGTCTCTGTACTTAGGAATTTATAACCAAGGAAGGTGAAAACAGAATAATCAAAGTTTCCCTTTAAGAAGAGAATCTGCTCCAATCAAAGGAAAATTAAAAACAATCTTCTCGAACCCAAAAGCACCTTGATTATTCCAGTTCTTTGTCATAAATCCCTTCCGTGTGCTATGTGCTTATTTTTTAAAAGAATCTAAATGTTAA